CGGACGGATGCCTCACGACTCTCCCGGGAACTTTCGCGAGGAACTGGGAGAATCGAAAGGCATTCGTCCAGGCACCATGGCAAGCGCCGCCGGAGGTAATCATCGAGAAAAGAGAGGTTGCGGTCAACCACCACAACCAGATCCTGACCAAAGACCCAAGAGAAAGACCCTTGATACTGTACACCGACGGGAGCGGGATTGATGGAAGGATCGGAGCGGCAGCGGTCGTGGACCTTGAGGATCAACATGCTCATAGCCAGATGGGAGATGATAATACGTCCACCATATATGCGGCAGAGCTTCGAGCCATTGAGATGGCACTTGAAATGGTTCTGGAAAGCACAGATCCATGGGCTAAGAAGGTGAAGAACGGGGTAGTCATCTTTGTAGACAGCCAAGCAGCGCTGAGGCGACCGCGGATGCCGTCAGGACAGGTCTATCTAGCAGGATGCCTCAACCTGATCCTACAACTTGCGGGCAGAAGTATTCGGACAGAACTCAGATGGATTCCTGCGCACCAAGGAGTCATTGGCAACGAGATCGTGGACCAACACGCAAAAGAAGCGGCGCAGGAACCGGACGGGCTGCATAACCCTCTCAACCGAGACATACGTCTCGCAGCCGCAGCGAGATGACGAATTCGCAGAGAAGCGAAGCTGGAGTGGGACAGAACGTGAGCCAAGGAAACAACCAGTCGTCCGACGAAACGCTTGATTGAAGCACCAACAAAGAAGACGCTAGAATACTGGATGGGCTTGCGCAAAGCGACGACATCGATTCTGATGCAGCTTAGAACTGGGCGAATAGGCCTAGGGGCTTACCTGAATCGTATCAACCGACGCGAAACAGCGCGGTGTGATTGCGATCCTGGTAGCCAAACAGTGACACACGTCCTGCTGGAATGCCCCTTGCACCAGGACGAGCGAGACTGGATGAGAAGCGCTCTCTCATACCAGGGAGTCGCTCTCCACCGGGACGAACTCCTCACACGACCCGAGGCCCGCACAGTTGTGGCCGAATTCATGGTCAAGACCGGCCTTCTAGGCCAATTTCAGACAGTCGATCCCACGGCTCTAGGCGAGGAGCAGGGGGACGACAAAGGAGCGGAGATAATGACCCCTTAGACAGTGTGACGGAAGAAGAAGGATGGCGCCCGTGAGGAGTGCAGTGCCAGGTCCTCTGCATTCCCTTGATCTAAGCGAGCGCGCAAGCGGCAACCGACAAGACTGGACGGTTGGGGAGAAGTGGACGTCGGAATGGTGTGGTGAAGTGGGCAGGGCCTCCCACCACGATCAGGGGTAAATGACGTTCATTTTGGCTTTTTGTTTATCATGTTTGCATCCGTGCATTTCTTTTGTTCAATTTACATCTTTCCATTCGAGGGCGATTGACCAGAAATTCGTACGAGTTTCCAACGGTCGCCCAGTGGGCTGGCGACCACTTTTTCCAGCTGTCGGCAGGCCTAACAGCACCCGCATATAGCAGCATATATATAGAGCGAGCTACATCGGGCAAATGAATACATCATCATCATCATCATGGGTCAACCAACTTGGGCGATTGAATGAGATTACGGTCTGACGGTTAGATAACCCAATTAGCTGTGTTCTAATAAGATGAAGTTATTTTTGACTGTTTCTTTCGACCCGTGAATGCCAACTGACACAGGACTTCTTTCCACTTTTGCTCTTCATGAACACAGCGGCGGCACAAAGTCCACGACAGGCCTTGGTGAGGCTATAAGTTCGCGTAGGAAGTGGTACATGGTACATGTACAGTCATGTTGCATGAGTATTTGCACCCCAGTACTTCGGAAGGCCTATGCCCCATTTTTTTTCTGCCAGTTAAAACTTCTCATTCAGAAACACCTAGCTAGTAACTAGTATGCCAACCTTCGTATTTAATAACCTCTTCCACCCGGTGCGGCATAGTCTCTGCTAAATTTACAAAGTGGTGCACTGTGAGATTCTCCCATGCGTACTGCGCTGCATCTACTAACTCGGCCCAGGTCTCCTGATTATTAGGCATCTCTCGTAACCAAGGCCTTAGCCTTAAGATATCTGCCTTTAATAACGCCTAGAGGTTTTCAATTGGTTTTAAATCAGGTGAATAAGGAGGCCAGTCTATAACATTTACACCTATCTCGCGTAGTAGTTCTTGAACTATATACGCAGTGTGTCTAGGTGCGTTATCATGTTGGAAGATAGCATCTTCATTTGCAAGTAAGGTAGGGAGGATACCACGGTAGAGACTGTAAACGACCTCTTTTGTAACACCCTTACGCTCTGCATTTGGATCTCCGTATAGAGGAATAAGGCCAGTTTTTCGTGGAGCACCTGAGAAACAGGCCCAAAACATCTGTTTTGACTGCTTCCCTTTCGAGAGTGTTATTTGAATCCCGGAATTTCGATTCTGAAGCTGATCCCTAGGAGGAATAAAAGTCCACTCCTTCCGAGCACCTTGTCCACGTTCAACTGTAGTCTCGTCCGACCCCTTAGGTGTAAAATGGCGATATGTAAAGGCCCAATTAAGACGTTTTGCGGCGTGAATAGGCGTAAGATAAGGTCGATTCATCTTCTGCCATTTTCGAAGGCCCATTTCGTGGGTCAAACGCCAGATTGAGTGCGCTTTAACCTTATAATCGACCTCGGCAAGCAGATCCTCACGCGTAATATCAGGACGGGACTGAATAGCATCATACACACGATCTCGTTCCTCTTCAGTAAGCTTCCTTGGGCTACCAAGGCGAGGTATTGAGATACCATGAGAGCGCTTTCCTTCCTGGCGTAAGGTGTAATGAATAGTTGAAAGAGGGACATAAGGGTACGCGTGCTTTTGAATACGTTTAGCACCCCATTTTGCTGAGCATTTTAGCTCACATATACGCTCACAAACGTGTGGTGGAAGCTCTGGGCCACGAGCCATAGTAGTAGAGAGTATAGAGAAAGAGTTAGAAAGGTAAGAAATAGGAGGAAGAGGGGGTAATAGCCTGTATAATACTAGTATACTACGCGCTGCGCGTAGTATACTAGTAGGAATAGGTAGGCGGTATTTTGGAGTGGTGAATCATGAAAGTACTGGGGTGCAAATACTCATGAAACGCCACTGTACATACAGAGATAATGTTATACAGAGTAATGGTAGCCTGCATATCGTTTCGACCAGTTGAATCCTAAACCACTACCCACTAGGCTGAGAATGGATTCGTATTTTGGTCTAGCTGGGGAAACCCACTCGACGAGGGGGTGACTATGGGGAGCGTGGTGAGCTAAAAAAAAAAAGGAAAAAAAGAACGGGATCGCGCTGGCGATAATGCTATATCACGTGATGGAAACGACGAAGACCGCACAGAACGTTCGATGTCGTGCTGGATTCGTTTGTTTGGATGACGAACAAACTTATATAGCAGATCATTGAGTCTTTTGTACCTGTTTATACAGTAAAGAAGGCGGGCCTTGGGTCTTTTGTGTCCGATCCACCGAGAAAACATGAAGACCAATACTGCAAGTTACCCCATATTCGCTGAATTCCCTTCAAGTCCGGGATCATCGCGGCCCGGAGAACTATGTTCAGTGAATCTCCTATGTCAGATACGCAAGGATGACACAATACGCAACTTCTAAGTTAATTATATGATCTCTCTCCTGTATTCACATCATCTATCGACGGGTCATGAAACTCAATACAGCGTCGAAACTCCCAATACTAGGGGAAGTCCTCAACGGCACAGCCTCGCCGCCATTTACACTCGATAACCTTCGTGTTTTTCTAAATCACAATCACTGCGTTGAGATCTTGGATTTCCTGGGATATGCGAAAATGTACGGAGAAACCTATGCCTCTGTTCATATTCAACTCGGCAGCCTGTCATACAGTTCTCTCGGGAGCCCCGATGTAGAATTGCTTCTCCAGCTCTGGCAAGGTCTCATATCGACATTTGTACTTTCTGGTGCCTCGCAGGAAATTAATTTGTTCCCATATGAGCAATCAGGGCTTCTTTTTTACCGATATACTGCCTTACCTCCGCATCCCTCCATCCTTCAGCCAGTTGTGAGGAGGTTGTACGATATTGTACGATATGATCGAGAAGATGATTTCAAAGTTTCTATTTTGCAACTGGGACTAGAAGAGGTATGCCCAGCAATGTATTATTTGTACACACAATTCATATGAATGGTGCTTTAAGACATCCTCACGAGGTTCCGGCCAAAAGCTTCAGAATTCTGAATCCATACGACATAGGCGAAGTCCGGATAACAAAGGATTTACAAACCACACACCTTCCCCCCCCCCCCCCCAACACCGCCCGAAAGCTTTATTTTTAATGTTGACGCACGCCTCCGCCGTCAGTGCGCTGGGAAGGCAGATAGGAAAGGACGAAGTATTATTTGGAGGCAAGTCACGCGAAGACGAATAACAAATCCAGCAATCGAAGATCCGCGACCACCCCTTGAACCGAGGGTTTTAGTTTGCCGAGCGCCAATTTGCCTCCCCGGTGACCCAACCACTGGGGTAATCAGGTCCAACTGGGACAAAGAGTAATGTTTAAGTCAACACATTGCTGGATAAGTGATCACTGTCGATTTGACACCCGACGTTTGTTCGCCAGTCACTTTTGTTCCTGCGATTTGGTACATGGGGAGAAATTTTGCATCATTAAAAAGCCGAAGAGAGGGGTACAGTACATTGTATGAGAAGAATGCCTATGCTGCCCGGGTAAGGTCACTGGTTTTGTGATGCTAGACATGACTTCTGGTCAATTAGCTGAACAATAGCGGTCTTCATATGGGCTGTGTTAAGTATAACCATCACCATGCATCAAAGCTGGTCCTGACGAAAGCAGAAATCAAAATATAATTCTACAATGACTCCAGTCTATATAGAACACTGAGATATTCTACACTTCTAACAGCCCTTTTCTCAACAAGCACATCCATTGAGGCTCAACAACCAATCCTGACCTACTAAAGGTGATTCTCTTTTTTACTCTCTTATCCCATATGAAGATTCCTTCAACGGCCGCAGTCAGCCTGCTCCTCACGGTCGGCACTTCTGCGCGGTCAATCATCCACAGTGGTCAAGGCTTTGGAACCTACTACTACGATATCGAGCAAATTGATAGCTGCGGTACTACGTTCGAGTACCAAAACCAAGGGGGGTAATGTGCAGCTCTGCAACCCTGCTCTCACTTGACCAGATGGACACCAACTATGTAGTTGCCATGAACAAAACCCAGCTAGGCGCCGACCCGTCTATGTACTGTGGTAGGAGAGTTGTTGTCTCCGTCAATGGACAACAGTCTGACCTGCAGCTCTTCATTGGAGACGGCTGCCAGCGCTGTGGCCTCGGCTCTTCTGTCAGCGATATATGGAATGCAGAGGGTGCTCCGGGCCTTGATTTCAGTTACACGGTCCTAGACAAGTTGTCTGGTGGCAACGCTTGTAACGCTGGCCACTTAGCCATCTCATGGGAAATCATTGACGAAAGGATGTATGACTTTGACGGTAGCTTTTCAGGCTTTGTGTCGTTATCCGAGCCAAAACCTTCCTATACTGCTGCCGGTGAGCCCTTAGTTCAGTGTCCAGCTCAGTCCGAGGCCCTAACAACTATGACCGTCGGCACGTCAGCTACTCAAGCTACCGTGTACTCCACAGCATGCTCAGAGGACGCATGGCAATGCAACGGTGCTGTTCTTGAGCAGTGCATCGGATCTATCTGGAACTCTCGTATTACATGTACTACTGGTTCCGATTGTCAGGGCGGTTCTAATCCCTACTGCATCTGAAAAACGTCCATCTCTACAAGCTTGATGAAGATTTGACTCAGACCGGTTCATCATCTTCTGCTTGCCTCTTTCTCTCTGTCGGCAGCTACCTAATCCCTCAATGCAACTGGAATTGGCCTTTTTTTCATCGTCAGTAGCTGATATTTTATCTTAATTTGAAGGGCTAGCGTCAGCTTCTAGCCTTGTATCCGTAGGCTGGTCTAAGAAGACTGCATGGCTAGTGCTGAAGAGCAGAACGCCGAATTACGAGAAAATTATCTTCAGGCCTTAGCACCAAGTATCTGCTGAACGGCCAGCCCTAAGTTGAGGTCAACCAGCCAGAGCGGCGTTATAGTTCATTGACATTTTACAATAAAAGATGACTGAGATCTTTGGACTTTCAAGATAGATGTTGATAGGACACGTTAAATCTATGTGCGACTCCAAGCCTCCATCCAAGTCAAATCTTTGATGTCCACTGTCCTCCAAAAACAGAAAGATATTTCACAAGTATACAACAGACGCCTGAGAGTTTGCGTTCGCAATCGATAATGCTTCTTACCCCTTGAATCTAGCCAGCAGTAGGGGCTCATATGGTACTGTATGTATGCAGCTGAATCTCATTGTGCTCTTGGATTTCCTGCTTGGCCATGACGAAATTGGAGCCTAAGGCGGGTAAAAGGGCATCGGAGAACAATGCCAAGAGAGGACAATCGATCTAGAAGGTTGGTAAGTACCTCAGAGCTGTTATCTTTGTTTCTTTGTTCATGTACGTCGTGCATGTACGTCATGAGCATTCTATAAACCACAAGGCCTTTTACTGCACCAGTGCGAAATAAACAACATACTTCCTACATATATCAGGATCTAGTGAGGCATGTGACTAGGCTTTGGAAGAAGCCGTCTTTGTGCAATAACGACCGCTAATGTATACAATCTTTCTTGGACATATTCATTCAAAGTCGCCTCGAGATCGCGATTGCTCCACTTGCCCTTCTTCCAGTCCGCAAGTCAAGACCCCTTTTCTTAGCTGAACTCATTCTGCAGATTGGCCTCCGATGTGGTCCTTGTTGGTAGGAAGCTTCTCGGTTGGGGCTTTCGTATATTCTGGGTTCCATTCCAACACTACACTTTCCCTGGCCTCATTGCGCTTGGCAAAGTCGATATCAAGGTTGAGCGAGTTCCTCAATCTGGTAGAATGGGCACCTTGCACATTCAGAACAACACAGTTCTGCAGTGTACAGCTTTCCAGCCAGGCTTTATCAATTGTACATTCGCAGAGAATGCTGCTCGGGATCCGCAGACCCTTGGGCTTGGTATCAACCATCTAGCGATGTCAGCGGGAATTGAAGATAGACGAAGGTACGGGGATCGTACGTGGATTATAGCTCAACAGTAGTCGTAATAGGGAATTTCTTGAAGGCCTGGCCGGCAAAATTTATATTCAGTTGAAAATGAAGAGAGTATAGAGTATGTATCACTCACAAATGTGCCGCATGCTTAGCTTTATCTGCATTTTTGGGTCGCGCCGAGGCCCAGTCAGTTTCCTTAAATATGCCCATTGTCGGGCGCAACTATGGCTCAAAAGGAATGCTTGCAGAAGAACAACAAAAAAAAACGGTAATTTGTTTCGCTTCGCACAGTGGATGCATTGGGGTTGATCAATGGTGAAAAGCATGAACGAGTAGTTATTTTTAGTTTCTGGAAATAGGGCAGGCTAGGAAAACACAGTTCAAACTTCATAGCTTAGGGGATTACAGCGATTGGTTGGCTTTTGAATTTGGATCGAAATAAACAAAAATTAGCAGGCAATTAAACTATAATAATTTGTCTATAAATTAATTGACCAGGTTAACTACCCAATCGAAACACGACCACTCTCCTCTTTCTCCCACGCAATTGGGTTAGTAAACATCCTTCCTTACTGGCCCCCAGCATTTTCTGTCCGCAAATCTTTTCGCTTTCCAGTCACATTGAAATGGTCCTCTTAACCAGAATAGCCATTTCCTAGTGTGTTTTTATTTAATTATTATAACCAACCCTTTGAGGCTGGCTACGCAATTCGGGCGTTCGCCTCTCTTCATGTCATAAGTTAACCTTTCTTTTGCGGCTTCAATAAACACACCGCCTGCCGGGTCACATGACCATATCGGGGCTCGCGATGGCAAAAGAGGGTGGTGAATTAAGCAATCATTTGGTTGTGCGCAGGACTGCCAATCTTTTCTTGTTTCACAGCCCATACCATGTCTGTTCATAGAAAAAGTACAAACGCGAGGTAAGAGAACTGTACATTTTTGATGTCTTACCTATCAAGAGCAGTTTTGGCATCCATCTTGTTCATTAGAAAAACACGGGGGACTATGTGATAAATGGACTAAGGGCGTCGATGAAAAGTCCTGACTATTAAAGGATTCAGAGCGTATCGTTTACTGGAGCGAAGCCGCTGAATTACTACTTCCATACTGTACCCATCAGAATGGGGCCAACTCAAACGTGCGGCTCGGAGAGTTGAAAGCGAGGGCCGAGACAGGGATATGAGAAAGGAACAGCTGACAGGGGGTTTGATTTACTCTAGGATCATCTTGTTGCTGATTAGGGGAACTGATCCCAGCCTACATTTTTGTTACTTACGTCATAAATTGCTGGGATCGCAGTAGGGCTAGAAGGGCGCGGCCAAGAGGATCCCGCGGAATATAGTATTTGTTCCCCGACCATTAAAGTACATTGTGTCACCTATGTCCTACAGCCGTGGGTTCTCATACGGTCGGAACAACCCTCTCCCCGAACTCAAATCTATTGAAGTCTCATCACCTTGGCGGATGCTTGCCACGCGATGAAGACAAACAAAACATACCATTGGTTGTTGTTTGCGTCATTGTGCTGATAAATAGGAGCGGCGCTGTCACTCCCTCTTCGATTCCCACCTTCCTATCCTCAACCTACCACCTCACCGACGCTGAGCGACAATGAAGGCGTCATTTGAAGTCCCGTTCTACGCAACTGACTTGCCTAGCCCTCTACCGACCGGTACCGAAATCGAGAATGCCCCGGACATATCCATGGAATACGGTGGGCGAAGAATAGTTGGAGTAGGCGCGCATTTTGTTGTGAAATTTGGGCTCGGCGTCAATCTCATTGAAGGAGAAAATATGTTGTTTGTTCGGGAGAATACAAATAGCCGTGTCACAGGCCCGCCCCCCACCGTCGCGGGTAGGGGGTGTCCCACAGCCATAATGCAATTAACAGCCATAATGCAATTAACAGCCATAATGCAAATTTCCAATTTCTTCAACTTCTAGCTCATTTGTTAGACATATAAGGTCCAGGATCCATGAGATAAAGCCCATCAATAGCATTAGCCAATAATGTATCATCCTCCTCATTTTAAAGTGTTTCGTCCAATTCCTTAGCCCCCAAATCGGCCGCCATTTTCTCTGCGTCTTTCCGCCAAGCACGAAGCTTCCACTCATCTTCTCTCTCACGCCTTCGCTGTACTAGCCTATTGCCTGAAATCGATGAAAGGGAACTCTTTGTAGCACCATTTACCCATCGCTTGCTTTTTGTAGGTTTTTTCCCAGGCGTTTATGGCTAAGGGCGCGCGCAAGGCTCATCTTAGCAAGTTCCGCATTGTATAGAGACGATGTTAGCTTAAATGATCAACATTCGACAAGCGGACCTATACAAACAAACTCGAGTACTTGCTGGCTCATAAGAACACGATTGTCGTGAGAGTCGAGAGCCATTTAACCACCTTTCATAGCTCCAGGTATTGTTCTCGTCCACGACAAACGAATCTAACCCGGAAACAACACCCCTGCCCCAGCGGAGTTCACCCCGCTATTTTCCATTAGTGAAAAAAATGAAAAATAAAAATAAAACCTCCGCAGGAAGATTCGGCTGGTTAAAGAATGCGGTGCTGTGCCAACCTCACTGATAGATGATCTTTGTCGATCTTCGCAGTCCGAAGGATATAAAAGCCAAAGCCCTCCTCTACAGGAACATGGATATAACAGGGTGTTCCTGCCTTCCAGCGTGACAACCTGTACGGCTCTGTCGCTGCTACCTGGCACAATCATCTAGTGATCCTGTCTTCCAGCGTGATAACCTGTACGGCTCTGTCGCTGCTACCTGGCGCAATCATCTAGTGATCCTGTCTTCCAGCGTGGTAACCTGCACGGCTCTGTCGCTGCTACATGGCACAATCATCTAGTGGCTTACCGCTACCTCCAGCGATAGGACAGACACCTCTTCGTGGTGCTGGGGATCATTACTAAAACGAGCTATCGTTTCAGGAAGCTAAGATCTGTCCTTGGCAAAGGCATTTGCCTTCGCCTGCTAGCTTGATTCTTGTTCAAGTATTTTGGCTGAGCCAATGTCTACGCTATGGACGCGGTTATAAATACAGCAAATCCTACTTTTTCGCTTACCGGCCACTTTGGGTCATTGAATTTGGCCGGTGTGTACATACGGTATACATCCGTCAGTACGTTCCCGTTTAATCCTGACATGACTTTGAGGCTGGTTACTCAGACAGATCAGGCATCCGCCTCGCGTGACCAGTATAACTTTTCTTTTGCAGCACTAATAAACGAACCGTCGACCAGACTCATGCCATCCCTAAGGTAATACGTTCAAACTGCTATCAAATATCGTTATCAGTAAGATAGGGCTTTATTACGATGCTCAATGGTCGGAAAAGAACACGCCTCGCTAGGAAGATGCATGAGACATGATGGAATTCAAGTTGACCATAGAGATGTCTAAAGCCCTGGTAGTGCCACATGGAGAAGCAGTCTCCACCAGTCACCATTCTGACATATCTCATTAACCAGAGCGTGCAATTCAGTGAATAATCGAGACAATCGAGAGGCGCAAGAAGCATGTTTTGGGTGAAGTTTACGGATCTCATTTCCCAAGGAGCCTAAGCAAAGTAATTGCACACGAGCGAAACATAAGAATGACAGGCCTTGACGAGGCTTCTAAGTTCGTTTTCAGAAAGTGACACTCTCTTTGTGACACGGATATATATAGTTGTGGCCTGCATATCGCTTCGGCAGTTCAAATCCTGAACTGAGTTACAAGTGTGATTATCATTTTTATCCACGGAAGCAGATGCAGCTATTTGGTAGGAAGGCCTTTACCCAGGGGACGAGTTGTCCAAGTCGTCATTTTCTGAGGTTATGGAGTAAGCGACCGTTGGAGACATCGTCCTATCCTCCCGAAGCATCCAGCATCAACAGTGACACCACCGGATTGCCTTTCCCCCTGGCTAAATATTTTCGGCCTGTTCATGAGCTCCTGGGAGTACCTTTGTGTGTTCCTAGGAGCACTCGTTGGAGTTTGGTCTTGTATCAGGTAGACACATCAACCCATGATCTGACACACAGAATCGATCGGGGAAAAAGCCGAGGTAGATGATATGAACGTTCCCTGTGACACGGCTCTGGTCAAGCGTATAGTTGGTATGGCTGGAAAGTTGGAAATAAAATTTCTGGTAAAGGAATGCGAAGGGTTGGTAAAGCGGATCTAACAGTGGTGTTTGTTTGATGGAAATTTGAACGTATTAGCTAAGGATACATCAACTGGCTTAAGTTAGTCAGGGAGAGTGGATCGCTAGATTCGACTCTGTTCAACCGGATTTAATAGAAAGTTGTTTGTAGTTTTGCACACCAATTGCTCCATGATCTCGAACATGACCAGATACGTAAGTTGTCAGGCTAGACTGGTTGAATGACAGTTAAATAATTGTTTACCTAGGAACTAATTTATCAGGTTAACTACCAGTCGAATCACGACACTCTTTATGCAATTTGGTTACCAAATATCTAAACCAGCCCCCAGAATTTCTGACCGCAATTCTTACTTTTCCGCCTTTCAGCCATGTTGAACTGTTTCTCTTGATCATAATAGCCGTGTTTTTGTTTAATTCTTAAAAGCTTTGAGGCTGGCTACTCAGTATGGGCGTTCACCTCCCATCGAGTCTAACCTTCCTTCTGCGGCTTTAATAAACACACCGTCTGCTACTGAAAGGGAAGCATTAAATTTGTATTTATAGGTAGCTAGGGAAGCTACATAAGTAAAGCTGCCATCAGACATGATAATTCCACAATCTGGGGACCTCTCTGAGCAAACTGCGGTCAGCCCGTGCAAGTGTTCATGGCATCAACAATTATAATTAGCGGGGTATTGGTTTCACAAATTGAACTTTTCCATTGCCCCATCACGTTCTCGGCCAGATTGTAACTAGCCACACTCGGCTTTTTTTGTTTCTCGGGTTCTATTTATTGTGTCAATTTGAGGCATATTACTCAGGCAGCTTAGCGCTTC